TTCTTAAACGGCAATAATAGTACCTGCCTGACCAGTCACTGCGTGTGTGCCAAAGCCTTGCTTGTTTCTGAGTCCTTCATAGGCTGTTGTTACTGTTCTCCAAATTGACTGCTTTTCACTTTTCAACTAGTCATTTTGTCACCCAATATTTAGAAGTGTGAGAGGGGAGAGCTGAGAGTTCTCTACTGGTTTGATCTTGTAGGTGGGTATTAGAGGCCCATGTGGGTTTCTGGGTTGTGGGTGGGGAGGTGCTTGATTCAAGCAGATATTCTGTCTGTATGGTAAAGACCAGCCAGATAAATTCTAGCTCCTACTCCCCTGTTTTTGTGTGCCTTTGGCTTGGCCGGAGTTTGGAAAGAAAGCAGTGAGAAACCAGGTGTGAATCTGCCGATGTGGCAGGCCAGAGGAAACTCATAGGCTATTAATTCAATTTGCACTGGCCTGTCACAGAGCAAGCGAGCGCTGCAGGAAGAATCAGCCCAGCTGTGAGCGGCCCTGCCACATGCTCAGCTCCAAGAGGCAGAGCCAGGACTGAGGAATGCAAGCAGGGAAAGTGACTTTTGTAGTTCTGATGAAATTTCAAAGGTCATTAAGGGCTCTTGGCAGATGGACTGGTAAACAGGCACCCTACCGAGTCCAAGTTTAAGGATGTAGGCGCACACAGCTCTCCTTCCCAACGCGAGGCACCTTTGATGAATAAACCAATTCTAGACAACCACCACAAGCAAATGTAAATCTCCCACAGAGCCCAGATTTTGCTGGAGCCAGGGAATTAAGAGCCGAGTTTTTATTATAAGATGACAAATTAGGAGTCAGTCTTCTATTGCCCATAAAATGAGAAAATTCCACAGAACCACAGATAATGTTTTGGAAGGAATAAATGTGATATAAGAATGAGATGAACAGATCCTGGCACCTGAAGGCGCCAGATGTAAACGAGCCACTCCCACTCACAAAGTTCACAAAGGGAATTTGTCACTTAGGCTCACTCTAAACTTCATGCCTAGATTTTTTTTTCAGGGGTGACATGGTAGAGTGGTGTTGGGGAGATGGGCGAGGGTATAAGAGGAAGAGAATGAGAAAATTAACCAACACTAGACCAGTATTAGAACATGCCTGTATCTAGGTGTAAAAGAAACATTACAAGCTGGAAGACAAAGGAGTGAATTAAGTTTCGATATAATTGTTGAGACATTTTTGCGAGTAGTCACTAAATTATATCTTAAGACCGTTGTAGGCTAAATAATAAAAACAGGACCAATAAACACAAAACACTGTCTGTGACAATGAACTTGAAGAATAAAGCAAATCAAAAGATGTTCTTCCAGAAAGTACAATTTGTTAAATCTTGAAGCTTCTTAGCAAAACAAACATTTTAGTAGCAGAGATGCTGAAGGACAAGGACAGGCTTTTATTTCTCTTGACCTTCAGAAGAGTTGTCCACTGAAAGGTGCCTGGCAGGTCCCAGCCATAGCACATGTGACAGTGGAATAGAAAGGAGAAAGAGAATTTATCTGGAAGAGTTGGTAGCCATGAAGAGTTGATCAAGTTCACTGTGAAGGCCAACTGAATTTGACTTACTGGAGCGTGGTAAATACCACTGATTGACTGATTGATTGATATTTTCACTTTAATTCATGAAAAGTTTTCTGCTATGATCTTTGGCAACTCAGTTATTCTTATATTGTCTGCTTTGCCCTGAAATAAGAGATGGTGAAGTTGCCTTAACAGAAATCATAAATGGCTACGATAGCATGCTGGCTGGAATGGAAAACCAGTGACAGGGGAGGGCAGACCTGCTCAGACAGAAAGAAAGGGGACTTGTGCAAAATGGATATGAAAGCACTTCCTTAAAGCCTGCAGATTTTAGCCTCTGTGTAACTCCAGAGGAGTTTGCAAGGCTTTGAAGTCAAGTTTGAGGGAAAACACACCCCACGCTCTTAGATGAGCTCACTTTTTAAAGTCACCCAATTTTCTCTGTAAGAAATGGAAAAGTCAGTTTCCAAAATTATGTCAAGCGATATTGGAGAATTTTGTAGAACTAGATCCCATGTTCCATGTTGGAGTCACCAAGAAATAATTGATATTAAAGAAATATATTCTTTGAAAGAACGATTATTCTCTCTCCCATCCACCCACCTCCCTGCCTTCCTCTTTACCTTCCTCTCTCTCTGTTGAGCTAAACAGACTTCTGTGTGTGTGCACACATGTGTAAAGTCTGCCCAAAGCCCCACATGTATTTTGTAGACAGAAGCTGCATGAGTAGCTGCTTCAGTGAACGACCATTGAGTTGTATTTTTGCCAGTCCACAAAATTGACACAACTTTATTTGCTCTCTTCCTAGAATCTGGGGTTTTATTTGGCTCCAGGGCTTAGGGGACACAGAATAACAGCGTAGTGTGATATCAGAGTAAATACAAGAACTGGGAGGTCTACCTCAGGCTAGTGTGCTCGCTGAATGTTCTCCAAAACGCGTGCACGCAGAGCTATCAGTGAAGGGATCTTGTGAATGAGTCCACCTCTGAACGTCCCCATCCTGAAGTCACTGATGATGTCAGCTTTGAAATGTGGCAGTGCTGGTTTTTATTATTCACATCAGGTTATCTTGGAAAGTTGGATAAAGTGAGAAATAATAAGGTGAAAGCCATATAGATTTGGTCATCAGATCTCACTACAAAAGTTACCTCCAACTTTGAAGAGCTCAGCTCAGTTACTATTATGATCACTTATAAAGTATGAGTTTAGTGATGAGGTCACATTGAACAGGATGGATTGTTTCTCATTCAGTATTACACCGTGATGATTTAGCAGGAAAGCAGCTGAAGGGTCCCTTGAATTTATGTTGCAGATTTACGAATGAGCTACTGTTACGCGAAGTTTGAAGGAGGAAAGTGTTCTTCACCCAAATCCAGAAATCACTCCAAGCAGGAGTGCTGCTGCGCCCTGAAGGGAGAAGGCTGGGGAGATCCCTGTGAGCTGTGCCCCACTGAGCCCGACGGTACGTCTGCCATCGGCACTTCTCTTAGGGTCAGTCAAGGTGCAGGCTGTACAGTCGTGGGCCTTCAGAAAATAAGACAACTTAATGTAAGTCGGATTAAAATCTTCACTCAAATTATTTTATCTCAGGCGCTAGGTAATTATCTTCTCCTGAACTATGTTATGACTCACAGCTGCCTGAGTAGTGGGCACACCAGCTCTGGGAGCCCTGGCAACTTCCTCTGGCTTCCGGGCCCAGCCTGTTCCTCGTGTTCTGACACGTGCAGCACGTGGCAGTGTGGCCTCCACATCACACCTGGGGAGGGGCCTGTGGCCAGCTGCCGTGGGTCTGTCTGTGAATGAGTGTTCGTCTCCCCCACAGAGGCCTTCCGCCAGATCTGTCCCTACGGGAGTGGGATCATCGTGGGGCCTGATGATTCAGCAGTTGGTGAGTGTCTCGTGCTGGATTCTCAGCGTTTCTTAATTTTCTCACCCAGCCTCTTCCTTGTCTTTTCTCCAGCTGTTCTCATTTCTCCATGTGTATCTTGGACAATTACACTTTACTTTTTTTGTCTTTCCCTTTAGATACCAATTCTATTATTGTATTGTAATACTAGCTATTTCATCGATTAGACACGGAAATGATAATTTACCTTTGTGCTTCAAAAAAGTTACCTTGTTATTCACTAAAAAATAGCGAAAACCTATTTCCCTCCTTTGCTTAAGATATGGATGAGTGCAAAGAACCTGATGTCTGTAAGCATGGGCAGTGCATCAACACCGACGGCTCCTATCGCTGCGAGTGTCCCTTCGGCTACATTCTGGAAGGGAATGAATGTGTGGGTGAGTAATACGGTGTTTTCTTCCCCTGGGATTTTTACAGGTTAGAAATTGAGCTACCCAGCACGCATGCTAAGAAGTGTAAGTACCAAGATGGGACAGAAGTAGGCTTTGTTCACTCATTCCTGGGTCAGCCATTCAGCAGTGCAGACTCTGTCCCCGCCGCGTACCAGCCACAGGGCTAGGTTCTGTGGCTACAGCAGTGAACCAAGCCAGCACGGCCCTCCTTGCCTGGGCCTCGCAGTCTGATGAGGAAGACAGTGAACACAGTTGAAGAGACAGCGGAAAGGGTAGCATTATAATGAAAGCCTTTGTGAAGTTTACAAGTGAAAAATTGTCAGTGGTCCTAATCTTCCTGTCTCAGTATGTACAACACAAAATTTACCCAGTTTGCTACACTTTATACTGTGAAGGGCTGCGTACAGAGTGTAAATTTCTCTTGTTTTAACCCCCTTATGAAAATGTCAAAGAATGGCTCCCATGGCAAATCTCTGACCTCTTAAGTCAGGACTAACTCCTGACTGAATACAAGCATTATGTCTGTTTATCGGAGAAACCCAAACCCACACCCACTCAACGTGACCTGAATTAATAATGGCGTAAGTGCTGAGGGTCTGTCTGTGCACGTTAGAAAGTGTTCTTCCATAGAGGGAATCGGGGCAGGAGGTTTCCACCCGCAGCCGTGGCTGTGGGAGCTTAAGCACGTGTTTTGGCCTTTCTCAGCCTTAGAATATAATACCAAATAGATGGACTGAAGTATTTCTTATTACCTTACAGCACTAAAAATCGATGATATTGTGATTTTTATTGACTTGAAGGAGATAGAGTATTTTTGACAGTGAAATGTGGTTTCGTAGCAGAACAAAAGCAAAGTTGTCGATGTTTTCTCTTTAGTATCTTCAGTTAGTGCTAAGATGTATGTGAGAAATAAGCTTCCTCACCAGGGTCTCTCTGCCATACCTCTTGCCTTCACTTTCTGACTTCAGAACCTGATAGATAATCCATCACTCTTCTGTGCTCTAGACCGCTAAGATAGCAATCTTATTCCTCCAAAATGTTCCTTTCCCAAAGGAAGATATTCTCCCCAAGAGATGTGTCAGAATAAGAACAGTCAGTATTCTAGGTGCACGGGTCAGGAGACATACATTTTTTTTTTGAACTTCCTTGGTAAGACTTGTTCCCTCTCCACAGTTGTTTAGAGAGATCATACCCTAAATATATTTCTTTCTAGCCTTTCTTCTGCCTAATGTGAACCATCTGGTTTCAACAGAATCAACAAAATCTACTTGAATCTTGACTTTATCCAGTGTATTAATTTTACTTAACCTCTGGTCTCTTACTTTGCGTAAGTTTAGTCTTCTATTTTATATCTGGCAAAAATCCATCATGTTTAAGGCTTCTTGGAGAATGATGTAATGTAAGGCCAAACTGGAGAAGTATTTCTAGCTTTAAGTAAGTGAAAACTTTTGACTTGTGAGAGAAGCCTTGTTTTAACCCTTTGAGCATCTATTCGCAGTAGATGTACTTCTTCATAACGCAGGAGACTGGAACAACTCCTGGAGGAGAGCACCATGAGGGCTAGAAACCCAGGTACTGCTACTGCCACTTAGCAAGTCAGATTTCATAGCTGTAAATCTAGGTACTAGGACCTGTGCTCTCCTTTCTTGCAAGGACAGAATGAGGAAGCAAAACGTTGTACATCAAAGTACTCCAGTCGAATGAAAGGTATATGCTGAGTCCAGGTCCATTTTTCTCTCAATTCTTCATGTGCTGACTGCATTCCCGATCCCTCGCAGATACCGATGAGTGTTCCGTGGGCAACCCTTGTGGAAATGGAACCTGCAAGAATGTGATTGGAGGTTTTGAATGCACCTGTGAGGAGGGATTTGAGCCGGGTCCAATGATGACCTGTGAAGGTAAGCCTCTTGAACACAGAGTGGTTGGTTACATGTTCTGATCACAGGGACAACAGTTGATTACAGTTGTTAATATTGACTACCATTCAGGGTGTATAAAGTAGAGGACACCTGGGCCTGTTGGGCCGTGCTGTCATTTCTTCTCATGGTGTCCTCTCTGCAGAAAGTCTCTGAAAGAGATGTAACTGCTTCAGGGCACAAGTCGCTGCACATCTCATGCAGAGTTCTTAGTGTCTACTACCCTCTTTCTTATTTTCCATTTCCCCCTTTTTCCCCTTTGTATCCCATGCTCCCTTTTTCTTTGCTTTTTTTCTACTTGTAGAAACATCTACACACTAAAATAACCGCCACTATCCTTTAGTCATCTGGGGGCAGTCACAGCAAAAGAGGTTGTCCATACTCTGTGAGCAGCTGTCAATGTGCCTGGTGGGATGTATGGAAAGAAGGGCGGGGAAGGGAGTATCTACAGCAGTGGTTCTCACAGGGTAGTCCCTGGAGCAGCCTCATTGGCATCACCTGGGAACTTGTTAGAAACAGGTTTTCACCTCAGACGTCCTGAATCAAACTCTAAGAGTGGGACCAAGCAACCCTCCAGGATATTCTGAGGAGCTCTCAAGTTGAGAACCGCTGGTCTAAGAAAACGAGGCGGATGTAAAGTTAGAGGGTAAAGTGGGTATTAAAGTGAGCTCCTCATGGGAGAGTGGCTCGTCAGTCCTCATGGTCGGAGTTGTTGGTGAATCTTTAAAGGCTCCGACTAAATCACGACCTGAGGGCTCACTGACGTTACCAGCCAGCATCGTGGGCCTTAGGGAGAAACATGATCATCAGAACAGTATGTTTTAACCCTGCTTTTTCCAAAACATTCTGATGGCTTAAAACTATGAAGTTTACAGAAATCACTTTTATCTGTTCTATTTAAGGCTATAACTTGCCCATTGGTGTGAACTAACCATCTCTTTAAGTATAAAATTGTTCAGAACACCATTTTCATTGGGCATAAGAATCACTGTTACTTCATAGGAGTCTCTCTTATATGGGGAAGGAGAGGTGGTTAACAATATTGGATGGGTCTGCTTCTGTTCTTGGCAGTTAGTTGGTTGAATGGGGTAAAACTGGTCCCCATTCCCTGTGACTTTAGGGAGTGGCAAGTGGTCTCCTTGAGGCTTCAAAGCCAGATTTTCAGAAAAGCCCCTATATATGTAGGGTGAGCTGTAATTTCTCATCCACCTAAAGAACAATTAAATCATACCAGGACAGTAGGCATAAACTGAGATTGACGATCACCCTACTTACACCAGTTATAAAGTAACCAACTCATTTTATTCCTTGAAAAATCAGACACTGCATGGTCCACCCATGTTTACCACAAGTATTACAACTTCTGGTGAAAGTACATTCCTTTTTTTTGGTTGATGCCTATGACCCATTATTTTACTACTTTTTGCTGCAGATATAAATGAGTGTGCCCAGAATCCTCTGCTCTGTGCTTTCCGATGTGTGAACACTTATGGGTCCTATGAATGCAAGTGTCCCGCTGGATATGTTCTGAGAGAAGACAGAAGGATGTGCAAAGGTGAGACTTTCATGTTCAAGGTCCTCTGAGCCACTCTGTCTCTGACGGGAGATGTCCCTCCAAAGCTGCCATTAACAGAGGAAGGCTGGGAATTGGGGAACACTGCTGTAGTCCAACGACAGTATGGAGGTTGTCATTGCTACCTTTTCTCCTAAATAAAACATCATGAAGCTGAGTCGAGGGCTGCACTGCAGCTCCTTTTCACTATGCACTGCATGCCTGTGGCATGCCAGCTCTTTTGCAAGATGGGAGGATATTAAGAAAAAAAGACATTTCCCCACATGTAAGAAGCTCAATATGAAGAGATTGAGACAGAGATATAAGTACCCATATTGCAGTATACTAACAACTAAGAACACAAAGGAAGGCATATGAATGTTAAAAAATAACCCCCATCACGAAGAGATATATTGCAAGAATGGGGTAGCACATGGAATCTACTTCAGTTAAACAATTTCTATTAAAAATGCTTGCTGAACACCTGCAGTTGCCAAAGCACTGGGCTAGGCTCTGTTACACAAACTTGGGTAAGTCCTGGGGCTTCTTGAAGAGCTCTGGTTTGCTCCTCCCAAGATCTTAAATGAGCCAATACCTGTTCTCTTCAAATGGCTTAAATAGAATTTTTCTTGATGGTGGGAAGATTTCCTAAGTGAGAGCTTGACATCACATGCAGGGTGAGGGGGAAATGCAACAGGACGGAAAGTAAAGAATGGGGAAGACCCACCCCGTGCTGGAAGGAAGGAAATGGAGGGAAGGACCAGTAGAGAAGATATTTGTGGATGCTTGTCTTTTCCTCAAAGTATAAAACCCAAAGCATGTATTATACAATGATTCTAATATTATGTTAATATTATATTAAGATATCATATTATGATAAGTGTTTATAATAGAAGCTTTGGCTTATTATTATAACATTGTGATGATAATGCTGTTGTTACAATTGTTATATTATGGAAGCTTCATACAAGGCCTTTTTAGTTCATTTCATCAAAAATAATTAGAAATCACACTTCCTGCTTTTGAAGAGGCTACTTGGTAGAGAGCAACTTCTTCATGAGTTCAAAGGGGTTTAGAAGACTCCTTCCCGTCTTAAGAGACCAGCACCCAACAATGCAAAAGGAAGTAGGTTAATGATGAAACACTGTCCATGAAAATTGATTACTTAATACCGTTTTATGTTTAAAAGGCAGGAAATTAATGCAGCTCCTTTTGTGAATGTGTGGTTGTACATTCTTTCCAGATGAGGATGAGTGTGAGGAGGGAAAACACGACTGTGCGGAAAAGCAAATGGAATGTAAGAACCTCATCGGCACATACATCTGCATCTGCGGACCTGGGTATCAGCGGAGGCCTGACGGAGAAGGCTGCGTAGGTAAGGGAACGCCTGCCACGGGAGCTTGGGGGGAGTCGGAAGTGACAGAAGACAGAAGGGACTCGGGCACTGGGTTCTTCTCGGCCAGAGCCATTCTGCCTCTCTGCATCTCACGACTCTCCGTGCAGGTCCTCTTGCCTGTCTCTGAATCCACCTGCACCCTCCTCCTCTCTCTCTCTGAGATGGACTTTGCCTGCTTTCGGGGCCCACTTTGGTATTTCCTCAAGTCCCTTCCTTTACTTTTTATACTCCTTGGTTGTCTTGGGGTTAGTTCTCTCCACCACATTAGAATACCTCCCTACTGATTTAACTTGGCTGCTACCACCCCAACACTGAGTGCACATGCCAGGCCCCTCTGGACCGGGAACATCATGAGACCAGTGGGACCTACCTCCAGAGAATCTGGTCTTGTCTAAAGTGGGGCCCAGACACTTATTTTTAAAACCTCCGCAGGTGATTCTCATGTGGATTCAGCACTGAAAACCATAGTAAACCAGGGATTGGCAAACCACAGCCCTAGCACCAAATTCAGTCTGCCAGCCCACCACCTGATTTTCTAAATAGACTTGTGCTGGAACATAGCTGTAACCATTTACTTACTTATTGTCCATGGCTGTTTTCATGCCACAGTGGCAGAGGAGTTGCAACGGAGACCATATGGCCCACAACGCCTAAAATACTGACCATGTGTTATATAGTAATACTGTAATTACACTGTTACTTACAGAAAAAGATTCCAATAGAGGTGGGGGGAAAACTTAGAAAATTCCCACATGCACCCTTTTTCCTTTTTAATGATCAGTGACATCAGGAAAGAATATTTTATGTTGTCAGTCAAGAAGTTTAAGAACCTCATTGTCCCCTTATTTTATAAGATACATAATTAAACGAAAGTTGAAGAGCAGACTTGAAGAGTACCAAAGTAGCATGTGGATTTATGGTCACACACTGGGTCTTCTGGGATCAGTGATTCTCAGTCTCAGCTGCACATCAGAATCACTTGGAGAGCTCAGGTCCCACCCCAGATATTCTGATTTATTTGGTCTAGGCGCGGCCTGGGCATTGGGAATTTTAACCTGTTTTAACACCATTCTGGATGTTACCTCCCACTCTGCTTCTCATAATGAGATCTCTGCCTCAGGGGCTCAGAACTGTTCTCAGTGAGAAGTGTCCAGGCAAATTATTTATGATCTTTCTAAATAATCATAAGACTTTCTAGCTTTTTTAATGCTTTTTTTTAACCTGGGAGACTAAATTATGATTTATTACTTCTTAATATTGTTGAAGTATTATAATAAGCATAATCTATATTGAATCAGAAGATTAGTGTAGACAGACACCCTCAGGTCAAAACTGACCATCACAGGCATTATTCTAATGAAGTACTGGAACATCTGACATATTGGTCTTATCTTTTCTTCTTTCATTTAAAATAATCCTTTGAGAATCGTCCTCATGCATAGATATGGAAAGTTTTAAACTTTAAGTGAAAAATGTAAGTGTACCTCAAATGCTGTCATCTGTATTTAAGTATATAAAAATGCTATCAGTGGAGGTGCACACACGCATGTGTCTCTGTGTATGGGCATAACTGATCTCTGGAAGGATACTTTAGAAACTGGCAGTAGCACTGGTTTGCTTCCCAGGACGGGGATTTGGTGGCTGGAGAAAGGGGGAGAGGGGGCCACTTTTGCTGAATATTCTTTTGTACCTTTCGGAACTATGCGAATAGGTTACCTATTCACAAACTAAATTTAAAATGAGAAAAGAACCCATCCTTGTGCAAAGCGGACAGATGACTCCTCCCGTTTTTGGCCCTTGACACAGATGAGAATGAATGTCAGACCAAGCCTGGGATCTGTGAGAACGGCCGCTGCCTCAACACCAGGGGGAGCTATACCTGCGAGTGCAATGACGGCTTCACAGCCAGCCCCAACCAGGACGAGTGCCTTGGTGAGTACAGACGACAGGATGCTTTTTAACTCCAGGGGCCACGCTGGGACTCTCGAAACCAGATCTCTTATCTGAAATAATATTTGAGGAAGAGTTAGAAAACGTTCATATTTTGGAGATGACTCAGTGACCGTGATTGTCCTTTGGGCTTGTTAGCGCCACCCTGCAGCTAAATTCTTCCCGTGCTAATTGTATCACTTGTTTGGAATTTCTTTCTCAACTGCCTTTTTAAGCCGTTGGGGCTCAGGATCAGCTTCCATGTGTCTCTGTGCCCCTCTCTCTAGCACGGCTCTTCCCCCGTATTTCTGGGAGCGGGTAGAGTTATAACAGTTTTGAGGCCTGTGTCTTTCTGTCCACTTACTGAATTTCTTGTCTTGTTTTCCCCAGACATCATCCTTTCTCTCTTACTGCTGCTTCCAGCTTTCCCTTCTCGCTCCTTCCCACTCAGGGTAAAGTGTTACATCCTTTTTGGGTTTTATATCTGGTCAAATTCTTAATACCTTGTTATGCTTCTAAAACTCCCTAAAACTCTCTCTGCAATGTCATGTCCCTTCCAGACAACCGGGAAGGGTACTGCTTCACAGAGGTGCTCCAAAATATGTGTCAGATCGGCTCGAGCAACAGGAACCCCGTCACCAAGTCGGAATGCTGCTGCGACGGAGGGAGAGGCTGGGGACCCCACTGTGAGATCTGCCCTTTCCAGGGCACTGTGGCTTTCAAAAAACTCTGCCCTCACGGCCGAGGGTTTATGACCAACGGAGCAGGTACTTCACTTATGGTCCAAAAATACTGGCAGGGCATTTGTTTCACAAAGAACAGATGAAAATACGGAATCTACAATATGGGCCTAGGCTGAGTTGCGTAGTTTAGGTCGAAAAAAAAATGCTTCATTATAGTATTTTTAGACATTGAAGGCCATGTTGCCAACATGTCCTTGGTCTAATTAAGTTGCGTACGCTTAGGTCCCTGCTTTTGCATTACAAGGAGTCTTCAAGTTTTTAAGGTAAAGATATAAGTCAGTTTTCAGTTACTCAAAATATAATTTATGTAAATCTTGGAATGAATGATCACTAAGTTCCTGCACTAGTCCACCAGTATGTATTTTAACTAACAAAACTGGCTGGAATATACTGCATGAAAGAAGTATACAGTTAACCTTCCATATCTGTAGGTTCCACGTCGGTAGATTCAACCAACCCTGGATTGATACTGATCTGAGGTTGACTGAATCTACAGCTACAGAGTGCCACTGTACCGTTCCATTTTATATAAAGGACTTCGGCATCCATGGATTTTGGTATGAGCGAGGGGGTCCTGGAACCCATGCCCTGTGAGTGTGGAGGGGCAGCTGTACTAGCAATCAACACACAATGGTCTCTGGGAAAGTGCAAGCTGCTTTAACTTGAAAGGAATGAGGAGGCTGTTGTGGTGTCTGAGGCGACTCTGAAAAAGACTTCCAGGCCGGTGTTAATCAGCAGTAACTGCAATTGATTTTAGTCTCATAAAGGAGAAAGGAGAGAGACTTTTTGAGCTCCTTGGGAGGAAATTAGAAGTGAGAGGAGAAGAAGGAGATTAAATAGGGTGTGTGTTCATGCTAGAAAGATGTGGCTAAAGGTGGAATAACAGAACTGGAAAGACTAGATGGAGTGACCAAAAGCAACCTATGAGCCTTTGGAGGATGCCAAAATGAGATGGTGGAGAGGCTTATTTCTTGAGACCAATGAGGATATGTTAAATTGCATTTCTTTCAGAGTAAACTTAAAAAAATCAGGAAAAAAGAGCTGTTGATATAAAATGGTTACTTGATAATCAGAGGCTACGAACTCACTTGGTATTGGCACCCCACCAAGCAGTAAGGCGATAGATGGGTCAAGATGTGGGGGACAGTGGCTTTCACGCTCAGCGATGCATATTGACCAAATCTTCCTCCCTGTGGTGGAGCTGTGAGTCGGGGTCTCTCTTCCTAGCAGCCCAGTGATCCACTGGTGCCTCCCTCACCACAGGAGGGAAGTTTGGCTCCAATTCCCCAATGTTATGCAATTT